GTTTCCTAAGGAAACATTGGAAATGGAAGCTGGAATTAAGCACAGAGAACATATACCAGTTTTGCAGTACCACCAGGAGTAATGGTAAAGCCTAAACAGCAGCTTTGAGGGGGGGAAATATCCAGGCTGTTGTCTATCAGACCAGTGTAAGTAAGGAGCAAGTGGAGCAGTCAAAACACTGGGAAAATCTAAGGAGAATCATAGAATCAACCAGGTTGGAAAAGATCTCCAAGATCATCCAGTCCAACCCTACTGTGATCACTAGACCATGACACTAAGTGCCACATCCATAAAAACCTCCAGGGATGGTGAATCCACCACCTCCCTGGGCAGCACATTGCAATGTCTGAGCACTCTCTCTGTTAAAAATCTCTTCCTAATATCTAACCTAACCCTCCCCTGGCAGAGCTTGAGTCTGTGCCCTCTTGTCAGAATTCATACCCTGATTCCAGACCTACCTCTTCCTTTGTCAAAGTGCTGCTCCAGGGAGTGGATGATATATAAAGTGCCTAATAAACTCTGGGCAGTACACAAACAGTGAATGAATCCAGCTCTAATCAGTTGGTGGTATGAAATAAGCCTTAGCCTGGCTAAACTGCTTTACAAGGGGGTTTAAGCTTAATTTTATATTTATGTATATAAGGAGCTCAGAAAGTCCTTACAGGAAAAAAATGAGTGGGGAAAAGTTTTGGGTCGAAGAGGCTATTTTAATTTACATGCTATGCTCCTGCAGAAGTTTACAAGCTGAAAACTGCATTAAAACCAGAACTTAGCTCAGTACCATATAGCCACGAGTAAAAATCCATAGAGCATATCACCAGGCTGCAAACAGTTTATTCTAAACAAGACTGTGAGCATTGTGCCTACAATGAAAACCTGCTCTTTGCTTTTTGGGCAGACCTGAGCAGAGGTAGAGCAGCAGGCACAGAGCACTAACTCACTGACCCTCACTGAGCAGTGGTGGCAAATCTGAGTGTGGGACACCAAACCCAACCTCTGACAGGAGTGAGGTCACATCTGTCAGCTGGAAAATGAAAAAAAGAAAAGGTGGAGCTGGTGAATTTGAAGTGGCTTCATGTAGACCTAAAGCAGAACCGTCACATTCTGCTTGTCATGGGTAACACGGTGTAACTAATGCTTTGGTAGTTCCAGCAGTAGCATGAAGGAAATCATTCAAATTGTGGAGCTGGATTTTAGGAGAAGTACTCCTGAAGCTTGTTGACAAGCATGTGATTACCTCAGGTCTCTAAACCCCCTTTAGATCTGAGGAACCACAGAAAAGGCATCAAAATCAGCTGTTATGGTGTGATTTGGATGAAAGCAAAGGATGTGTCATTTTATCCTGGGTACCTGTTCAGCACAGACATCACTGAATGGGTTAGCTAGGAGTACACTGTTCTGTTTCTGCTGGATTTTAGACTCTCATTTCAAATTCTGGCTGTTGTGTGTTTAACTGGAAGGAAGGAGAGCTCTGGGGGTGTCTGCTGAAATGTGCAGCCCCCAACAAAGAGGCTGCAGAGCCTGCAGATGCCTCTGTTTGCTCTTCATTTAGACAAACATGCAGCCCTCAGAGAAGAGCACATTGGGAATGTCACATAGAACTCTCAATTAAATTGAATTGTGCAAAGCTTATTTCTATAAATGAGAAAATGAAAACCTTTTGGTTGGAGAAGTACACAGAACTAAGTCAAGCTAATGATTTATTGTTCCCAAATTAAAGCCATAAGTGCACACCCTACAATTGAGCTGTAGTGGTTCTTTGTTCCAGCACTTTTGTGCTGCTGAAAGATGACAATTTATAATCTTTGAATGAAGATTTGTCTTAGCTCTAGGTATTTGTTGGATAATTAACCCATCTATGAACAAACCCATTGCCTGTTAATTCCAATATTCCCCAGGCATGTGTGCTTGTCCAGGTCTGGCTCACGTGTCCGGAATGCCTATGCCAATTCTTTGAGATGAATATAAATTGTTTGTTTTCTTTACTTGTCACTAAATGTCATGGAGAAGTTTCAAAACAATGGGGTTTGTTAAGACTTAATCATGGAACTGTGTGAATCAGGTCCTGGAATTCCAGAGGAATATCAGCTCTGCTGTATTTCAGCCTTTGTTTTTGGCTTGTGTTGAAACTTGTGTCTCCACAGTCCCTTCGGTGCAGTTTGTCTGGCACTAACAATTAGCACACACATAACTTCATTTGCAATGTGGTTTTTTCAGGCCTTTGCCTTTAATAGTCTCTGTTCATAGTAGTTAGGCTAACCCAGAGAAGTGCTGGAAACTGCACAAATTGGCCTTGAATTATGGGCAAGCAGCTGCACCTTTGAGGGCAGAAGATGAGATGACAATGTTCAGGTCACAAATGAAGTTGAAGACCAACAGTGTTCACTGAGTTTTTCCTTAGTTAAAGTGGAGTGTTTTGGCAGAGCTGGTCAGGATGGAGGGACAAAAATACACCCCAGATTTAGAGTTGATGCAGATCACTTTTCACTGGAAGGAAGACAGAGGTTAGAGGTGCTACTGTTATTTTTGAGCCCCTCAAAGATGGTTTTTGCCCCTTGCCAATATTTGTGCCAATGCTCTGTAGGTACCACACTCAGAAGTGCCCTTGAATGGTCATTTATGGATTTCTTTGCCTATAAATGGACTTTAGAACCTCATGTCCTGTCACACTGCATAGACAGAAGTTCTGTGTTCTCATTCTCACCTTAGACTTTTAATGAACACTCATTTTCTTTGGTCTTTTTCACTTCACGCTTGTGGATTTCTAGCTTGAACAAACTCAGTCACATTCTGATACTTGAGCTATGTTTGTTCCAGATGTTGATGTAAGAACAGCAAAATGTTAAAAGGTGGCAAAGCTCAGAGACAAAGCATTGAACTGATTATTTTAGGAAGGTACAAAACACCTGCAATTGCCAGTAAAGGCTCTGTGCAGTGAGGGCTTTGCTGCTCCTGCTCTGGGTGTGCTCCACTGGTGACTTCCTGATGAAAGAGAAATTACAGGAGTGCCAGAAAAAACACTACCTGCTGCAAAGCTCTGGGAGAATTGGAATTTTATTATTTGCTATCTGCACGATAGCGAAAATCTTTGGAAAACTGGAAAAGCTCTTGTTAGAGCACGAGAAGAGGGTGAGAGGCTGCTGTAATTTCCAGTGTGAAATCAGATTTCCAAAGAATTAAGCTGCAAGAGAAAAGATTACTTTTGAGCTCAAATTCCTGGAAATTTCCCTCTGCTCTTAAATTAATCTCATCTTGGAACTTGATAGGGATGTGAGAGGTGTGTGACCCAGAAACAGAGCAAGATTGGGGTTTGCATTTTTAGACCATATTTGTTCCTAGAACTTCAAGGGCATTTTTCACTTGGGGAAAAAAAAAAAAACCCTGACCATATGTATATGTGCAATAAGCAGCACAACCATGGCAAATCTCCAGTGAGGATCACTTGTCTTATAAGGTCACATCTCCCAGCACAGTGCACATTCCCAGTGGGGGTGGTGGGATGGAGCCTGTGGTGGGACTGGGAGCAGCGTTGGGGATCCTGCGATCCAAGCCAGACTCCCTGAGTGCTGCTTTGGAGAGAGGTGTGCTGCAGAAATGCTGCTTTATTAACTAGCCAAATAAATGACTGAGGGTTGACCTCAGCTGAGGCTTTATCACTGTTGCCCTGCTGGTGAACCCTCGGGCAGAGCTCTCCCCTGGAATTCAGCGTGTCGTCGCTTCTGGGGGGAAAAGAGTTAATGCCACAAGACCTGTGCAAAGAGGTGATTCCTCAGGAAGAGCCTTACAGTGGAGCACCAAAGCTAAGCATTTTTTTCAGCTTTTTAATTAGTTTTTAAACATTTCTTTCTCGCTGTAAATCTGGACTTTCCAGGAAAATGTACAAGGGAGAAATCCAGTGTCCAAGCAGGGGGGATGCCACTCCCTGGGCTGTGCTTTTGCAGCTTCCCTAATCTTGACAGCTCCTGTAGTTGCCCCTGGGATAGAAAGAACAACAAAAAAATAAAATTCAGAACAGTCCATAAAGTTCCCGTTGGTTTGAAAGCAAAACCATCTGCTGGAGCCATGGAGAGTTTGTTAGGGAGTTCAATAAGAGGAAAACCTGCAGTTGATCAGCTGTGCCCTCCCCAAACAGGCAGGAGGAGTTAGTGGAGGAAGCCAGGAGATGTGGGGAACATCAGGACAACAGCAAAACGTGTCAAAAGAATGGGTTTGTTTCTTTGGTTTCAAATAGAAACCTTTAAGGAAGAAGTGTGGGTGTTGTGGTTTCATGTTCACCTTTCCCTGTGAGTCCTCAGGTGTTTGTGGCCCAGCAAGGTGTGTGTGTGTTCTCTGAGCATGAGTGGTTTGATAGGGGCTGGACAGACACAGCCCTGAGGCATTGGAATAGGTCTGGCATGGCTGTAATGAAGCAGGTGAAGGTAGTTTCTATATTATATTTGTCTTCTGATGAAGACAAAGTGCTGAAATAACTCCTGGAGCTGCTGAGGTGTGTGTGGAGACACACACAGCCTGGAGGGATTGCACTGAACATGGCACATCACAGAATCATAGAGTGCTCTGGGTTGGAAGGGACCTTCAAGATCATCTAGTTCCATGGTCAGGGACACCTCCCACCAGCTCAGGTTGCTCCAAGCCCCATCCAACCTGGCCTGGAACACTCCCAGGGATGGAGCAGCCACAGCTGCTCTGGGCAACCTGTGCCAGTGTATGACCAACCCTCATAGGAAAGAATTTCTTCCTAATATCTAATGCATGGTGTCTCATGAGAAAAACTTGGTGTTTTATCATAGATCCATAGAATCATTAAGGCTGGCAAAGACCTCCAAGATCATCACCCATTGCCCAAACACCACTGTGCCCACTACACCATATCATGAAGTGCCACATCTACTTGAGTTTTGTCCAATAACTTATTGAAAAAGTGTTGGGTTTTTTTTATAAAAACACCCACAATTTAACAGTAAATCTGATTGATTCTTCAATGTTGTGGTTTGTTTTAGTGGTCCCACCAGGGAGCCCTGGGCCCATCACCCGACACGAGTCGTACGACAGCCTGGCGTCCGACCACAGCGGGCAGGAGGATGAGGAGTGGCTGTCACAGGTATGTCTGGGGGTGTTCCAGCTGAGGAGTGGAACAGGAGTAGTAGCCATTGGAAGTAAAATCCACAACTTCCCTCAAAATGGGAAGTAAGGTCCCAACAGCTCTGGGCTCTGTGTGTGGAACTGGTGTCACTCCTGGTTTAACGTGGTGTGAGCTCAGTGGTCTCTGCATAGGCTGTACAAGCTTGATTAAAAAGCAGGTAAAGCCACAATCACATCCCTGGGAAGCTCAGGATGAAGTGGGAAGTTCAGCTGACACCAGCAAGTTCCTTTTTTTCCTTGCCATGGTTCTTTTCAGACACGCCTACGGGAAGTTGGCTTGGCTAAATGGTGATGACTTTTCAGTGGTGACCTGAGCTATACTCACTGCATTTTAACATAAAAATGGTATATTAGCTGGTTTACTTCCTTCCTTCTGTGGTTATCAGTTACTGCATTTCCTCCTGGTCATTCCTTTGAGTTATGGCTAGATATAAATGCTGTAAAGCTTTAAAACAATCTTGCTCAGTGCAATAATTTTATGAGTTTAGATCTTGGTCTGTGTCTCAGTCACTGAAGCTTCTCATGAAGAACTCAGTAAATACTTGACCATTTGGCTCAAAACATAACTTCAGTTTAAGAATGTAGGTCATGAATAATACACTGAGAATTAGTTCCTGTTAGAAATAAAAGGTTAGAGTGAAATAAATAAATAAAATTTACAAATGCTCTGGATTTGCTAAAGCAATTACAGTGTACCTGAGCCATGGAATTCATCCTGACAAATTAGGTGGGTTTCCTTTGGTTTAAGAACAATGTTGTTATGGGAGTGATGCATTAAATGTGTTGCTGGGGCGTATGTATGGCATAAACATGAAATATTCATGGATGGGATTTGCTTCTCCCACTGGTGAATAAATCATACACAGCTTTTTCCTAAAATGAGAGGTTAGGTTTGCACATGGACCAATCCAGGAGCACACTCACTGGGGAATCCACTCATGTGAGCCCACTTACCTGGCCTGAGGTTTCAGATGTGGCTGCACATTGAGATCTCTCATTTGTTTATGCTGTGCCTAATTTCTCAGAGCATAAAGATGCTGAAACTACTCAGTCAGAGCAGTCAACAGCAATTTTATCACAGAGCTCATTTGGGCCAAGATTTCACCTGTAGTTTTCCACCTCTCCAGTAGTGTTTGGAGAGATTTGCTTATTTGACTCTATTTTACTCTTCTTATTTTACTCTTCCCGAGGGAATCCTCAGGAAAAAGAGCTTATGGTGAACCTCCATTATGGGTGTTCTGTATTACTAATTACAAGATGTCAATGGAACTTCACTGCTTGGAACATCATCACATCCATCCCTCTAGAAGAGTAAATATATTTAGTAGAGTAAATCTGCAACGTCTCAGCGCACAGATAATTCCAAGGCTGCTTCCAGAACAGTTCATTTTTGCCAAGTGAAGGAATGCTGATCCCTCTTGGAGCACAAAGCCTTCAGCATTCTCCAAACAAGCCACTTTAGATTAAGCCTCAAGTGCGAGGATGTTTTTCAGAATTAAAGTGTTGTTATCAACAGTAACAGCATGTGGTGAAAAACCACCGCCCTTCACTTCAACTTTTCAATTAGAACAGTGGGTAATGTGTGCTGTCAGTGTGAAGTAGATACAATATGTTTGTCCTGCACACAACAGGAGAGTGAATAGGAACATCTGGCCGTAGCCTCAGTAAAATTGCAGAGGCATCTGTTTACCTCTCGGCTCTGTGACACTGATGGTTTCAAGCTTAAAATATACAGATTACTTTATCTGTGGCCTAATTTACACTGCTACATAAAAGCTACTTGCCTCAGAAACAGGCACAGCCAAGCTGAGTTAGGCTGAGATAAATGCAGAGATGGAAATAGTGCTCCATGGGCTGTTTGTTGTCTTAGTTAGCAGAGAAATTACAGCATCAGCCAGCGTTTAAAATTGCTTCTTAGGGGTTAAAAATCACTACTGGGTTGTGTCATATGTGTACAAAAACCTGTTTTCCTGAATTTTCTCACTGATTGTATTTGTGCTGTGAAGCTGAACATTGTTTTAGCAGAAACTAATGGGATAGGGATTTAATAATCTATTTTTGTCAGCTTAAGAGTATGAGTTCACCAGAGCTTAATGTTTTCAGTTCGTATTTCCTTTTGCTGATCTTTAAAGGCTCTTTTTGATTTGGAGTGTAGTGTTGTATTTTAGTACTGTGTCATCTTAGTGGCCTTAGTGATTCTATTCTGATTACAGAAGACATTTGCTTTGTTTGCCCTTTTATTTACAAGGCCAAGCTTTCCTGATCATCCACATTCCCAGCGATATTAGCACCTTAAATTCTCCTGGTTGTTTGCAGTCTTACAGTTGCCTCATTTAAGAGTTTGCCAGGATTGACACTCACCAGGTTTATAGCTATCAGTGTGAAAAGACATTTTTAACATATTTTGGATGCTTCGTTTGCTGAAATCACTTCTTTTTCAAAAGTTCAAACTCCCCCTGGGAGCAGTACCTAGAGAAAATATGAATATTTGAAATTATTTTTAGGCAAGCCATGGGTATTCTCTGTGGCTTTGGAGCAGCTATGGAGCTGTGAAGCTTCTCTGTTTCTGTGTCTGTCTACACATAAGTACAGTCAATATCTCAAATGCACCTATTGCATGATAATTTGGTTGTTCATTGCAAACAAACACCTCTGCTCTGGTTTATTTGTCAGGATCCTGGTTAAGTGACTCTCTCTGAGTGTGGCATATCCTTATTTGTGTTACATCTGCACAGTGACAGAGTGAGCTCAGCTCAGCTCACTCCACATCGCTCTCGGTCACAAATCTTGTGCTTCCCAGCAAGATGCTTTCTGCCAGCCTTCTCCTCACATATGCCAGCAGTAATTATGAGCTTTGAGTTGAAATCCAGCTCACACTGTAGCCATGGGAAGCAGCTCTGTTGAAGGTGTGAACTTTCAGCCAGCAGCCATGGCAGAGCTGGAACAACCTTCCCAAAACACTTCCCTGGCCCTGGTCAGGATGGGGTTGTCTGCAGGATGTGAACTGTCAGTTCCTCTGTCTGCTCCCTGCAGGAATGTGTTCTACTGTTAGAGAATCAGCAAGGTTGGAACAGACCTTTAAGATCATCAGATCCAACTATTAACCCCTGAACCCTAAACCAGATCCTCCAGCACCAGGTCCAGACACCTCTTAAACACTTCTAGAGGTGGTGACTCCACCACCTCCCTGGGCAATATTCCAGTGCCTGTTGGTTACACCACAAGAGAAGCTTCATAGTGTTTGAGTTCTAGTGTGTCTTTCATCATGGCAAGGGGAGGAATGAAGAGGATCAGGTGAAGTGATGGCCAGGAGCACTGGGGTTCAGTGTCCTCAGGCTGGTGGGTCATGGGCTTTCAAGGCTCTGCAAGGAGCTCTTGGCTTTGATAGAGGATCCTCTGTCTAGCCAAGACGTTCCAAATTGTCCCCAGTTAAACAT